AGGTATAAAACTGCAAAAAAAAAAAAAAAAAATCCTGGAGCCAGAATTCGAATCCTGGCAGTTTCACTTCCTTATCGTGAGACTTGGGAAGTTCATTGACATTTATGCACCTCAGTTTCCTTAACTGTAGAATAGCGAGAAAAAAATAACACCCACCTTGAGTGTTATAATGAAGAATACATTAATAATAATACTAATATCTGTAAAACTCTTAGAGGAGTGCCTGGCATTTGGCAATTATCATTAATTATCATTAATCCTCCCCGCCCAGTCAACAATGCCAGTTTCTTTTAATGGAGTTGAGAGAGGGAGGGGAAAGAACAGAGAAGCATGTGAGAATTCTGTGAGTCAAAGATGGAGAATGCATAAAATATAGATTTAGTGTAACTGACCATGAACTCACACCTTCTGCCCAAAACATTCAAGTAGCAAAGTTTCTTCAAGGGTAGAACAATATACTTAAATTTAAGTTCAAGTTATCATGTTTAATTATCCTCACCTGAAACGAAGTATGTGCTTATTCTCTTTAGAGGCTCTAGGCTCCGTGCAGCACTGTCCAATGGAGCTTTCTGTGACGGGAGGAATGTTCTCTCATCTGCACCATCCAAAACGACAGCCACTAGCCATGCGTGGCTCTTGAACATTTGCAATGTGGCCAACAGACTAAGGAAATGAATTTTTAATTTCATTGAATACTGGTTATTAAATTTAAATAGCCACTTGTGGCTAGTGGCTACCCTACCTGGGATCTGAGTAGACAAGCCCCTGGCCTTGGCTCTTCCTCACTCTCCAGCTCCATGCTCTGCTCCTCTCCCCGCTCCAGCAGTCAACACTCCCGAGGCCAGACTGCTGTTTCACACCTCCCTGGCTATGCAGATGCTGCCCTTTTGGCCTGAACTGCCCTTTCCTTGCCATCCACCTCCCAACTTCATGAAAACTGTGTTCAGATTTCACTTCCTCTGGGCAACTTTCCCCGATTCCCTCCCGGCTTACCTCACCCTACTGCCAACACAATCCATCACTGCCTGATCTGTGCTACTCTGCATCTGTTTCCGCTGCTCTCATCACCCGGTAGTTGTCATGTATTCCCTGTGATGCTAACAGACTGGGGGAGTTTTAAGGACCAGGTCTTAGTCATCGCTGCGTTCTTGTGGTGTGTGCCCATCGCATAATATATGTGCAGTAAATATCTGCTGAGCACATTAGTCACTGCATATGAATATATGTAATGTTTTGTTAAATAAGCCTCAGTGTATTGACAACCACTCCCTGATTATATAGATCAAATTCTCTTATAAGGCCTATTTTCAAATAATAAAAAAGTTATTAGAGTCTCAGTTGAAGGTCTATTTGTTTTAAGCCATATCAATATAACATTTCAGTACAAATCAAGGAATATAAATGTTCCCTGGAACAAAATCCGACCTGTAGCTGCTCCTCCTAAGGGTCTGGAAGTCTCTTGGATTTCAGAAACTGATCCTGTCATTGATCTGTCCCCCCCGTGCTTGCAGTGACTTACTAGGGAGACACTGACGCAGTTGAAAATCAAGAAGACAAGAGGACTTGATTATGGACAGAGTCATATGGGAATTCAAGGGTGATCTATCCTTGCTACACCCTCTACCCAATCCTACCTCCAAGAAGGAAATCATCAAAATCTTATCTAATGTGAAAAATACTGACGTGGGTGATACATGTCTGTTCAGTGACATATGCTATCCCCCAAAAAAAAAGGATTGTTTCCCTTATTCCTTAGCAAAACTTTTTTGCTCAAAAAAATCTTCCTTGTTAAATTATGTAGCATCTGTTGCAATATTAACCTGCCCTGGGAGCCACCCTGGTTCATTTTTTTCATCACAATTTTCTGACTAATCCTTTATTTGGATTCCCACACAAGTGTTCCTACAATTAGAAGAAGCTTTTGATGGATACAATTCTGTGAACCTTATTTGTATGAGATATTTCCCAAGGACCAAGCATCTGGTGAATGTATTTTACAAATGATTTTCTTTCCTGCCCTTCAGGAACTTACAGTTAAATAAGACAGATAAATATACAGTGACCAGAAATGCATATTCGTTGGTACAATCATGGCAGTGGGCATTGAAGAAATGGATTTCAGAGAGAACATGCATCCAAAGGACTTCATCTTCAAATCAGATATAGATTTGACTTTTGTTTTCTTATTAATTATGTGGTTTTGTTTTATTTTAAAATGCACAAACAGCACTTTCTAATGTAATGAACATTGATTTAAAAAATGATTGAGTTACATGGGGCTGTATGATCATTTAGATAAATCTCTAGGTTTCCCATATTACTGACAGATTTTACACAGTCTTTTCTCTGGTTTCCCTTTCCCCTCACCCAACACATATCTCCCAGAATTTGAATCTAAGATGCTCCCCCAAAAGACAAAGGACTAACATATCTTTTGAGGCTACTAACGAATACTATGAGATAAGTATCTTTCCTTAAGTTGCCTGCCTTAAATTTAAATATAGGGATATCAATTTTTTTTTTACTTCCTTCCAAAATCTGCCAATCTAGGAAGAACGCTGATTAAGTCTAGAAATTATGTTCCATGTTATTGGAATTGCTTGTGAATTCTACTAATATAAGATGCACTTATTTCCAAAATGTGTCTCTTGTTGCTTAGAAAAGAGAAGATCTAGCTTTCACAGATTATGTTTTGAGGTTAAAAATGAAGATAGTGACCTTAAGTTCCTCAAGATTTGTAAGGCTGGCATGCCATCTATCTCAATAATACCTAACAAGAATGTCAAATGGCCAGAAACAGCCCTGGTAAGCGGGTGTTTGCAGCTGACAGTGATTGCTGTATTTTGGGTGATGGGGAACAGCATCTCCATTAGTTCAAGTGAAATACAATGCTCTGCCAACTCTGGGTATCAGTGTATTCAATCCCCCTGCTGTGCAGTGTCCATTTTCTGTTGCTGCAATTAAAAATCAGTTGATACAAAGTCAAAATGTTGTACCCTCTTCCCCTATCCCTTTCCCTGTCACTGTGTTTCCAGCTTCACCGGAAGAACATGTCACTATGGTAACGAATCTCTCTGGTGCACAGACCAAGTCAACCTTTCTAGCCGGATTGCTAGGCAAAGCAACATGGAATCAAAGCCCTCAATGGAACCACCAGGAGCCATGGATTCCATCCCCCTTTTTCTGAGTGGAGTGAACCAATGCCAGACAGAAGGATACCCAATCCATCGTGCTGCCAGAGACCTTTAAGAAAGGAAATGCAAGAATGTCCTTCAGCAAGTCCTACCACTGTTTTTCAGTCGTTATTAACATGAATTCTTCCTCATGTTTCAGCTAACTTCCTACCATTTCAATTTTAATGAAAGCGGAGCACAACAAAACAATGTAACACTTCATGAATCTGAGAATCTGAACGCTGTTACAGTCTACCCACTTTTAAAAAAGATTGTTTTTTCTTGCCTTCCTACTTCTAAATCCAAACCAAGTTACTCTCTTCTGGAATTCTCTAACATCCTGCCCATCTTTACAAAGTTGTAGAGCTCCAAATGGGTCACCCTGCTCTAATATGAGCCTAACTCTTAAGCAGTTGTGATGTTTGTAGTATTAACACACTCATAACCGAATCAGCTAAAATCCCTAGTCATTCTACAGAAGCTACAAAACAAACATGAAGATGGATTCTCCTTCTGGACTTCACCTCACCTACATCTGACTAGCCACCTAGACCATACCCACTGCTTGTCATTCTTAAACAAATGACTTTTTTTTTTCAAATTAACTATTTTTTTTCTGATCAGTTGCAACATTTTTCTGAATCAAAGAACATCAGTTCTCACAAATGATATTTTACAACAGGAGCAAACCTGCATTATAATATTAAGGGACAGTAAGAACTGTTCATCTGGGCCTCAGAGCCTTTGCAGAGAACATCATTTTCACCTGGCATCACCATTTAATAGTTGAAGGGAATGAAACATGGTGGGGGGGTGGGTGGGAACAAGACTCAGAAAGTCACACCACATCTTCCAGAACGCAACTACCATAGAAGGGAACGCATTCCCTTTTTCAGAGCAATATTAATATATATCCAAACAACATTTCAATGGATTAACAGAACAGGGTGGTCCCCAAAGTATAAATCATCCAAGATTTACAAACTCCATCAGATGAACAGACTTTTAAAAAATTATGGGATCAACATTAGAGTACCCAAGAAATTTTCATCATTAGCAAATGAAGTCTGTTTTCTGTTTTGGAATACTTCAGGTATTTTTGATACAAATCTTCAGAACATGGTAATTTTTTTTCCTCTGAAGTGCCCACTTTGGTGTTACCTGAGGAACTACTTTTTATGTGTTTATTAGGCCCTGTTAAAATTCGATGCACACAAGTCACTTTTGTCAACCACCTCCCCAAAAGGAGAGATCAAGAATCGTGGTATGATGCTCCTGGTCAACAAGCCTGTCGCTGCAACGGGGCAGGGGCTGTGATTTACTGATGTTTATGTGACCAATGCCTGCACCGCGCTCAGCACAGTCTAGCACTTAGCAAGCGTTTGTAGCGTGAATAAGGTGAATAAGGCCTTCTCGGTGAGATGCTGAATCAGTTCGACATCTAAAACAAAGATTAAAACTAGGAGGCTGTCTGCCTGACACATCATTCTCAAATTTGGGGACTGCTCTGCGAACAACACAACATGAGAGATTCCCTCCCTTTTCAGAGACTGATGAAGCATTAGCCCGGATTAAAAACCCTGGCCCACGATATTCCACGGGAATCCCATCAGACCAACGCAAGACCAGAGGCCGGCCAGAGAGAAGTAAGCCTCCATTACCAGCTACTGGGAGGCAAGTTCTGGCCAGTCCGAGGCTCCGCAGGGCCTGGCTAACCTGACCTCCTGGAAGCAGGAGGCCCGGGAGACTGTGGCCCCGCGAAGGGAGGAGAGGGTGGCCGGGCCTAGGAGGCGCCGGGCTCTCCACAGCGCCACGCCTCGCGCTTACCTTTCCGAATGAGGGCTGCGATCTCGGGGTCGAAGCCCTGCCGGTGGCACTTCCTCCAGAGGCCCATGTTGGTGGAGTTGTACTGCCGGCTGCACTCGTCAACCGGGCTCATGGCGAAGAGCTGCCGGCGGTTCCGGGCCCGGAGGAGTTTGCCCTCCCAGCGGTCCAGGCGCGAGCGGCTCGCCCGGAGCGGCAAGTTGTTGTTGTTGTTGTAAATGAAGCCGGGGTCGACCCGGCGGGTGTTGAAGGCCTTGCACCTGTCCCTGTGCTTCCTGGCGTCCGTCTCGTACCAGTGGTCCGAGCAGATGGCCACGGCCAGCATGCCGAGGGCGCAGAGCGCTAGCGAGAGGCCCGTATAGAGCAGTAACCTTCCGGCAGCCATGCCTCCGCTTGGCGGCTACACCATGGGCATGATCCGCCGCAGCCTCGCCTTCCCTCCGCGCGCCCGGAACAAAGCGGCGGGCGGGCGGCCGAGCCAAGGGGGGGAGGGGGACCGGAGGGGGACTCGCGCCGCGGCGCCCCCTCGCCCCCGCCTGCCGGTGCGCGGCCCAGGGACTGTGGGGATGGGGGCGGGCAACCTAAAAAGTTCTGATCCGGGGAGGCTCGGGCGGGCTCCTGGGCATCCTCCGGGGCAGGTGCAGCCTCGGGCGGCAGCGAGCGGGACAAGACCGCCTCCCGCCCCCTCCCTGCCCGGCAGGAAGCGACTGCCCTGAACAGGCCGCGTCCGCACGCAGCCGGGCTTCGGGCGCCGCTGCCCTGGGGCCAGAAACTAAACACCAAGTGCCCTCGGCTGCAGTGGGGCTGCCGGGCTTTCTTTGTGCAGGGTAGCGATGGGACCCCTCGCCTGGCTTTTTCTTGGGGTGAGGGGGTGGGGGCTATCACGAGGAGCTGCGCGACGACCGAATGAACTCCGGCACCCGCGATGCGGCCGGCCAGCGAAGGAAACCTCCAGATGCCAGGGCCGGCTGCCCTGAGTCCCGCCTGGGTCTCCCACTCAGCGACTCTCCCCCTTCCGGTCTGCAAGCGAAGAAATGTTCTTCCTCTCTGGGTTGGGTCTTTTTTAAAATCTCCGTCCTCTGGTCACCAGCAGGTCCCTTGCTCTGTCTGGCCAGCGCGCTGTGCTCAGAGGCGGGCTCCCCGTGGGCGCACGTTTGCGGCCGACCTTACCGCGCGGGCTCCCGGGTCGTCTGCGTCTGGCCTCGCCATTCAGGAGGCCCCTCGGGCCGACGGCGCGGTCACTCGGACGGCGTTACGGGACGAGCCTTGGCCCGGGACTGGGGACGACTGGGCGGCAGCTGGCGGGCGCGAGGGGCAGGCTGCGCAGAGGCGGGTGCACCCGGCAGGGCGCACCGCGCGGGGCGCGCGGAACTCGGCTCGCGGTGCCTTCAACACCATGGACAGGTCGCGCGATCGGGGCTCACTGCCAGCTGGCCAGCCAGCCCCCGGGGCGTCATGCCGATCTCCCCAGCGCCCTCTTCTTCCTCAGTATCCACCCGACAGGTTCCAGACCCGCCTCTCCCGCGACGCCTCTGCCTCACTTCATCTGGCTCCCAAGTAGCCCCGGGAACGTGCTGCCCAGGTGCAAAGAAAATGCTGCAGGCACCGAGGAAAACAGCGGCCCCGGCCCTTCAAAACAATCCGCCCCCTTCTCCCGCCACCCGAACCCGGCACTGTAGCTGTCTGCTCTGCCCAACTGGAGTCAGCCGCTCTCAGACTGCACCATTTTCTTCTCAGCCCACCCGAGGCGCCGGCTCACTCGGCAGCGTGCAGAGAATCCCGTCCCGGTCTCAACGTCCCACGATCAGGCTCCTGGCGCGCGGTTGCCGCCGAGGTGAATGGGGCGAGGGTGGGGGAGGGAGGCTGGGTCGCTGCCTCCTCCTCTAGCCGCGGCGGCTCCGGGTCCTCGCGGGCCGGGCGGGTGCTGGGGAGCGAGAGCCCCAGCTGCGCCCGGGGTGCTCGGGAAATCGCATCGCCCGGCTGCGAGCACCGGAGGAAGCCACTGCCGCGCTCGCTCGCTCGCTCGGGCGCCGGGCGCTGCAGCCTTGGCTAAAACCCACAGACGAGAACACGGAGCGCGCAGCCAAAAGCTAGTGATGTCATCCGTGCAACGTGAGCCTCATCTCTTATTTTTCTAGCATCCTTAAAGATAAACTGCACCATTTCCCAGGCACGAAATGCCTAAGCCTTAGTCTTTGACCAGGCAAGTCAATGGTGTCTAGATAGGTATGTGCCCAACCACATCCATATTTATGCACATATACATATATGTGGTATGTAGCATGTTTACACGCATTATTATAAATTTAGGAATGTTGCCTCCATCTCCTATTTATCTCTTTTCAGTGGTGGAAAATTCCCTCAAATCGACCACAGTTCTTTAAAGGCTGCTTATTGCAGAGTCGGCATCCGGAGGGGCTGAGGAAGTTCCCTGCGTCCCCCGGTTTTGGTCGCTGGTATCTTGGATCACATTTGATCTTTGTTTTCCCCCCCAGAAAGCCACAGGCGCTACCTCGCTGGCTACAGGCGTTTCCCCCTGGGGCCGAGTGCGTCGGTGGGGTTGCCACGGCCAACCCCAGTCTAGCCCCACGCCAGCGCCAGACACCCCGACACACACCCACCTCCACCTGCCTCCGCCTCCCTCCCTCCCCAGCAGGAAAGGAAAAATGAAATTGATTGATCCTTTCAAGGCCAGAGGAAGAGAATGTTAATGGGTGTGTAGGGGGGTGCTTAATAGATATTTTGAAAACGCCCGGGGGCTCGCTCTTTGAGAAGGGGAGGTGGGGTTGAATGAAACCCCGGCGCGGGATTTGTCCTCAACTGGGTGGCGGCTGGATTTAGGCTCAGCGCGGGCTCTGGGAAGCAGTGAAGGACCCCAGACCTTGAGCGAGTGGGCCGCAAGCGAGCCCCACTTCATCCCAGAAACGCCCCCCCACCCGCCCGGCTCACGTGAGACAGCGCCGCAAAGGCTGGGAGCCTCCCTCCCAGGTTGAAAGACTGGGTTTTTCTCTCTAATGCTCGCCCCTCATTTGCACCTGCACTCCAAAACCGGGGGCCCGCACTGCCGGGGAAAGAGCTGCCCCAGGGAAAAAGAGTATCCGGCACCCTGCTTTGCACAACGGGGCCTGCGAGCCAGAAAGAGCGCACCTCCACCATATTCTTTTTGTCTTTTTTCATCCTCCCTGCAGTTTGAAAATCGGGAACGAGGAGTTTCAGTGCCATCTAGTGGGGGAGGGGCGAGCCTCGCTTTCCGTCCCTGGATGCGGCAAGGGATTTGCTGAAAGGGACAGCAGAGCCTGAGCATGCCCGCTCGGTTCTTGGGTGCCCAGCTGGTCGAGAGGCTGTGGGCATATGCCATTTGCCAGCTCCTGGTCCCCTGGGTTCCCTAGGACGGCGAGGTGGAGCCAAGGGACTTGGCCACAATGTCTTCTCACACCTTCCTTTCTACCCTCCTCCCACTAGTACCCTCTCTCCCCCAACCGTGAAAATGTGGAAACACTTTGCACATGCAGACGACGTCTGAAATTTCTGGAGCTATTTTATTCTGTAAAGCCCAGAGCACTTTGTAGGCTAACAGGATGTCTGTGTTTGACCCTAGCGAGGAGGCAGAAAGGTGATATGATACCTACAAGGTCACTCAGCAAGCTGGGGCACATCCAGCATTAGAGCCTCGCCCTCCTCATTGTCAGCTCTGCCCTCCCCTGAGAACCAGCTGCAAGAGGTGCCTTGGAGACCCCTGGAAGCCCAGGCAGTTACCCATTTGGCAATGAAGGAGACTGTTCATTTTATCCCTATCTGTCCTCCGTCTTCCATTATTCTGTCCCTTTCTTCTTCCTTTTTAACTTTTTCTCCTGGCCTGAGCCTTAGGCCTGCTTTCCAGGATGTGCCTTGCCCCTCCTCCCATGGTCCTCCTCAGCAGTCCTGTGATTACAGGGCCCTGCTGGGAGAAGGGACCTAAATGGCACACTGTCCTCCTCTTTTCGAACCATCATTAAAATTCTGTTCTGAAATTTTTGTCCTTGGTAACATCCCAAAAGCCTTTTAAAGATGTTTGTTTGAGGCCTCCTTTGAAATGCAGTTTTCCTGGACAGCCCAACTCCATTTGGGGAAGATCTGGTCTTCGGAGCTAAAAAGATGGTGGACTCTTCCTCTAACCTGTGTAACAAGAGACTTTAGAGTCAACCACACAACAGTGCATGAATCTCTCCTAGAACATTTCCCAAAAAGTAATGGCCAGCTTCAGCTTGCCCACTTGCAGTGATAGGGAAATCACTCTCTTGGCAAGCACCCTGTTCCACTGTCAGATGGTATAAATGGTTAGACAATCCTTCCTGACATTGAGTTTTATCCTAGATCCCTGTAATCCTACCCATTGGCCTTAGAGAAGCCCACAGGTACCTGATTCCTCTCCCACGTAATGGTCCTTCTCATACTTCACCTCGGCCATCGTGTTCTCCCTAAGCCTTCTTCCTTCCAGGCTAAATACCCCTTGTTTATTTCCTCCTTGAACTTGATGCTCCTGGGTTTCTGATTCTTCCTGATTATTAGTGTGTCTGGTATCCAGCAGTGCTCCTTCATCTAACAGCCAAGTCAACCAATAAAGAAAAAAACACCATCACACAGTCAGTCAGGTTTTCACATGACCCATGTAAAGTTCTAATAATCCTCACCTTCTCTTCTAGGATCTCTTCTACAACTCATTCCTTTTGAATGCTACCCTAGGATCTTGCCCCAAAATGACATCAAAATCATTGGTTTGCAGTTTCTGAAATCCACATCTTTGAAATTTGGAATTTCATTTGCTCACACACAACCTCCCTCCTTTCTCTAACCGATGTTCACATTCTCCAAGCTTTCTCCAAGCCCAACAACAGAGATGCAGAGATATCATTAAAAGTTCTCTCTGTTTCCTGGGGTGCAGTTCACCCAGAGCAGATAGATGCTTTCCTACAATCTCTTCACCCATTGGGAACTGTCTTCAGTTATTACATTTGTTCTACCTTACCCCCTACTTTAGTCTGAAATCACTCTCCTTGACATTGTCTATTAGAAGCAAAATAAAAATTGATGAAGTGTGTTTTCTCTTTGCCATCTATCAACATACCATCATTTGCTCAGAGAAAAGGCCTCCTATATATTCTTATTCCTGTTTTCCTAATTAATGTTGCGCAACTGGGACATTGATTGAAACCCAAGAGTTATCTTCTACTTTAGGCCTCCTGACAGTCCCCCAAGTGTGTAATATGCTAGTATTTATGCTTCTCTCTACATCTCATCACAGAGCCACACTGGTTTGTTAGGGACTTTCCTTCTTTTCTTCCTCATTAGGGTCATTAGAACCTCATTAGGGTCATTAAAGCATTTTCATCTCACCCCTTGGGATCC